GTGTGTGTGTATGTGTGTGTGTGTGTATGTGTGTGTGTGTGTATGTGTGTGTGTGTGTGTATGTGCGTATGTATGTGTTTGTGTAAGTGTGGGTGTGTGCACGTGTGTTTATGTGTGTGTACGTGTGTGTGTGCGTACGTGTGTACGTGTGAGTGTGCGTACGTGTGTACGTGTGTGTGCGTACGTGTATGTGTGTGATACAATCAAAATCAATCCTCCCAATGCTTATGTGAGCATTCATGTTCGAGTTATGTAAAGCCAAGCCTAGTCTGTAGTGCGATAATAGAATACTTGCAGTACGTTCACGGGGACTGATAGATGCGACAGCTAGCTGTAGTCGACCATATCTTCCACTAATACACATGTAGTAGTAGGGTCGACATGACCACTTTGTAGTAGTTAGTTTAAACAGTAGTAGGTAAGTAGTGATCTACAATCTCAAGTTTAGTTATATTACACCATCCTTCAGTTTCCAAGCAACGGAGACGAGCCGAAGGACAAGGCTACTCGAGTTAGAGATCAGATGCAATTCGAGCAATATAAATATACAGTTTGTATTGTTGATACCAGAGTATACATTTGTCGTAGGTACTAGAAACGAATACATCGACAAACCAATATACACACGGTTGTATGATTAGTTTTGAATACCAGAGCATATATATCTGTATAGTCTGTATACATACACACCGAGAGAGATCAACACACATTCACCCACCTCTGCCCAGAGCCTTAGCACTTCATACAAACGCTGCAACTCGACTTTGCGTGACTCCACATTATTTGTTCGTAAACCCGCGTATAAACTAATGTCGGCCTCGTTCAACAAGTTTAACCTCAGTTGGGCCTGACTCATTACGCACTCAGTATCTCTTCACACATGTATTTACCGGGGGATGCGTGTTCTGTTGAGAAGTGTTTTGTTTCGATGTGCTTAGTTATTCTGAGAGTATTTGAGATATAGTTACAGTACTTCATATAACATGTACTTGTGATTTGTAGTGTAGCTGTGTATCCATACGGGGCGTGTATAGTATAACCTCGAGTCCTGTTGCGCAATTTATGTATATATAAATATATACAGATACTTCTTCGTCAATATATATATATACACATAAATCCATACATAAACAGTCCGATTATAGCGCAGTACATCAAGTGGTTACCCATATCTATCTTTCAGAGTATGTATCAGTATTTATTTTAACTCAACTGACTCTGAGTCTCTGACTGTCACTTACAGTGGGGCTCGTTGCGCGTGTGTCAACCCCTTTGTTTTTTGAAATAAATATTTCTTCGAATCAATTGCGAATATTCGCTCGGCTCGTCCAATATATTTTTAATCTGCTCAATTGGAATCAGATTTTTCTGGAAAATATTTATGTAATCAAAAATGAGAACAGGACGTTTCACGTTTGTCGTTTCGACACTCAGGCTGACTGACGTGCAAAAACAGGGTTAAATAGCTACACAATATTGCATGTGTTTACTGAACAGAGACACAATATTATGTGTAAACACTAAACAGAGTGTGCAGTACTGTGTGGGTGTTTATTATATAGTTGTATGAGCGAAGTAGCACTACCATACTGTGGATCTAATGTACCATGTATTTGGAGAACCTCGCCATAACGCATCTACTTGTGTGAAATTGATCAAAGCATTGGCAGGAAGTATTGTATGCGAAATACTATTTAATATCGTTCGGAAAGAACTTATTATTACTACACTGCTTTTCTTAGGGTGCTATGACTCCTGAAAAAAAAGCTATTCTTTGAAAAGACAGATTGATATACATTATCACTAACATACTATTGC